CGCTGGAAGAGCTGGTGTGGGAGGAGGAAGAATGGGGTCTAAGTAGTCTGAGGTCATGTTCACCTTCCTCCTTCCTTGATGGCCCTCATTCCATAGCAGCTTGTACTTTCATTTTTGTAATATTTATCGCTTGTAATTACTTGGTCACCCCACCACCACCTTGGCCCTTGCTAGGCTATAAACTGCCAGTGAACAGACTATATCTGTTTTGTGCTCCACTGTATCCCCAGTCACGGCGGCCCCACGTCACAGAGTAGAACTGCTCCATACAGTCTTCTTGGCTGTAATCTTTACAGAAGCAGTTTGCCAGGCTTTTCTTCCATGGTGCCACTGGGTGACTTTGAACTGCTGACCTTAAGGTTAACAGCCAATAGCAAACCACTTGCACCACTCAGGGATACATGGGGTTGCCATGAGTCGAAAGTGGCTCGACAGCAGTCGGTTTGGTCTTTGAGTTGTTGGGCAGCCCTGGGCAAAATATATGAACACCCAGTAAATACTTGTTGAAAGAATCAGCTCAACGTGTTAGAGGGTTAGGAGTGGAAGGGGCTAGAGAGGGGCTAGCTAGGGATTGGGTCTTCTGGACTGTTGTTGATCATAGGGTTAAAAATATCTCAAGAGGTCATCTGATCCATGCCTCTACTTCAGGTTCTGTCATCACCCTGCCATAGACACCAGGACTGGTTTATTGGGGAAAGAACTGGTCTGGGTTCCAGTCCTTGGGAGAGCTGCTTCCTCTCTGTTGGCCTCAGTTTCCCATCTCTATCTCAAGGAGGTTGGATTGGCTAATCTCTAAGTCTCTTCCACCTCTGCCAGTTTGTGGTTCAAGAAAAGGCAAAGCACTTTGGAAATGAACATCCCCTCTGCTTGAATCACCAACTCTGGCCCCTTTCCCAGGAGTGCAGCTGCAGGGGGGTGCACACCCAAGCCTGGCAGGAATCTGACGATGGGGTTTTTCACAGGCAAATGAGGACTTACACAGTTGGGGGAGGGTAGGCCTTCCAAATTGTCCCCTGAGAAGTCACACATCTACTCCAGTGCTGCTGCTGGTGCTCAGAAGAAGCTTGGGAAACTCCTCTTGCAGAGAGGCCTTCTGGATGGGCTTTGGCGCCCCACTGGCACTGCATCTCTGTTCCAGACAATGCCTGACTTCCCTCCTCCTTCACAAGGCACAACCCCTAATGACTTTCAATCATCTCCAGAAGAGCAAAGCCAGCCCAAAGGACAAAGACTTACTCCCCAGTAAGGATTGTAGAGCACATGTCACGAGCTCTGAGAGAATTCCAAAAGAGTTTCCAGAAATGTTTGGGAAACTGCAGCATCACTGGGAAGCATATGGCTTAGATAGGGTCGTTGCTCCCTCGGGTGTACAAAATCAGCCTCTGGCCTTACCCCAGAGCTGTGTGTGTGAAAAGGTGTGCGTGCATCATGCATTCAACGAGCCGCGGCCAGGCGGGGAGAAATGCAAAGACAAAGATGAGGTCCCTAACTCCTGGCTTCTAACCCTGATTCCGAGACTTCTTAGCTGTGTGGCTGGAGCACCCTTAACTCAGAATGACAGAATATTAGAACAGGAAGAAACCTGCATGGTCACCTGTTCCCCTCATTTTACAGATGAGGAAACCGAGCCCAGTAAGGAGAGCGATTGCCCCAGAGTCACCCAGAGAGTTGGTGGCAGTGGGAGGAATTGACTCCGGACCTGAATGGAGCCCAGATGGAGCCCAGGTGGCCCATTGTAGCATCACCTCTCTCCACCCTTCTGCCCTTGAAAAGTAAGATAAAGATACAAATACCCCCCTCCCTTTCTCCTGGGTGGTTGTGTGGAGCCATGAATTAACGCATGGGGAGGCCAGTGAGGGTGAGGAGAGTAGATAAATAACGGCAGAAAGCTCTGAGTGCGACAAAGGGCAGCCCCATTAACCCAGAGACCAGCGGAGAGCAAGGCGGGGCCAGAACTGTTAACTGACTGCATCACCAAGTCACATCCCTGCCACCTTAAATATTTCGTGGACCCAGAAGTACACCTGTGTAGAATAGCTGCTGCTCCTCTAGCCAGGCTGTGACTACAGCAGGACCGTGAACCCTTGTGAACACACGAGCACACCTAACACACACACACACACACACACACACACACACACACACACACACTCGCTGGGGGAAGGGGCTATGCCAGGACAGTCTCTAACTCTTGCTCATTCTAGGAAGAATTCCAAGAGCGGGTGTGCGGCCCTCTGCACCTGCCCAGCCCTGTCACAATGAGCAGCCCACGCTTTCTTACACCAAAAAGCCTAGAAGCACGAACAGCTCCCCACCCAGCTCCGGGCATAAAGGTCAAAACGATATACACACACCTTCACCCACCAACCCGTTCCAGTTCACATGGAGACACCAGCACCCAAGGCTGCACCCAGCCACACTCCACCTCCCCATTACCTATAACGCTACTCCCACCTGCCCCCAGCCTCCTCTCCCACAGCCAGTACCAGGAGGCTGTCGCTCTTCCCTCTCCCTGCTCTCTCCTCCTCTGCCTCCACCCCAGCACCAGCTGCTCCCAGGACCCTTCTTCCCAGGAAGCCTCTCATCAGCCATCTCTCCAGAGCCTGAGCTCCCTTGGCCCCTCTCTTTACCTGTAGCTTTGGGGAGGAAGGGGTCTGAGAATCTGGCCCTTGAGAAGGCATCATGAGGGTGGCTGTGAGACTTGGGGAGGAATTTGCAGGACCATACCAACATTTGAGGGGAAAGGGGCATCAGAAGGAGGCCTAGGCAAATTGGAGGACTGGGGTGGGTGGGGAGGTAGGGGGAGATCTTCTTATGAGAGCCCTAATGCTGCTATCCTGCTAGGAGATAACAAGACAATAATAACAGCAACTATCAATTAACTGAGGACCTTCTATATGACAGGCGTAACCTTTGTGGTGCAGTGGTTAAGAGCTGTGCCTGCTTAACCAAATGGTCAGCAGTTCAAATCCACCAGCCGCTCCTTGGAAACCCTATGAGGCCGTTCTACTCTGTCCTGTAGGGTCACTATGAGTCGGAATTGATTGGATGCCAACAAGTTTGGTTTTTTTGGTATACAACAGATACCTTACCTCATAATACTCAACCCTATGAGGTAGGGACTATTCTGCTCATTTTACAAATGAGGAAATCAAGGCTCAGTGAGGGGACCCTGAGGCCCCAGAGATAGGGGTTTGAGGATCACCTATTTGGAGGATTCTCTGGACCCTGTTCTGTGTGCATGTGGTTGGGAAGGACGGTGAGTGCAGAGGAGGCCACATCAAGCACCTGGGCCCCAATGGGCTCTGTGTCCCCCACCCTACCCTTATTCTCTCTGCTTCAGTGCCTTCACATCCTCTCCCTCCGTTGTCACTTCTGCTGGGGGGCAGGGGACTGAGAGGGGGTGGCTCTGCTACACTAAAGAGAGAGCAAAGGGGCACTGCAGGTGCAGGCTGGGTGCGGGGGGTCATTCCTTGAGTCCCTAACAGGAAAACAGGGACAGTCAAGAGACAAATGGAAGTCCAGCTGACTAGAGCCTTCAGGGCCCACTGGGTCCCTATGGCCCCAGCCTCACCTCAAGAAAACTGAGCCGGGCCTGACATGTATAAAGAGATATGGCTGAGGGGGAAGGGCAGGGGAGGTTATTTTGGGAGGCAAGAGGGGAGGGGGCCATGTGAAATCAAGGCCAGGGAAGGACTGCCCAGGAGAGGAGGCAACTAAGTGTCAAGGCTGACCCCTTAGAAGAGAGGATGAGGATGATCACAAGGTCCCCCAGAGAACTAGGCATAAATCTACATGGAACTTGCCAGATGCTAAAGAAACAGATCTCCTGGCCCCTGCCCCTCCCCCAGCACTCCCAGTCCCTCCTCCTCCCAACCTAGTCCTTTTTCCCCCTTTTCCTCCCCCTACCGGATGCATCAAGCCCTGCCCCTCCCCAGCACCCCAGCACCTCCCCTCCCTCTGCCCAGTGCTCCCCAGTCCCTGGCACAATGCCCACCAGCTCCTATGAATATCGTTCTATCCCCCTCACTAGCTAATACTGATATGTTGGGGCCCACACCAAACAAGTTCTTCACATAGTCTAACCTCCATCTCTTCAGTTACAGCAGATCTTTTTCATTATTCTGTCTATAGTGGAATTGGAAACCAACCCCATCTGTAAACAAGCCACTGGCCAAAGAAGTGTCCCTCTCCACCCCAGGGCATTCTCCCCTTGCAGGCCTTTCATCTACTTTAGGATCCCCATAATTTAGCAAGCAGAAAGAGAAATCTATTTCACAACCATTATTGGCTCCCCACCCCAATTACTCCTTCTGCGGAGTCTCAGATGATCCTCTCTCCCCAGCCCTCCGTCCGCAGGGCATTTCAAGAGAGACGCTCCGGTCTCTGCGGATTCTCAAAGATCTTCAGGTCCACCTCCCTGCCGCTGAGTGCACATAAGCGGTGCTCACAACCTGCATCTTTCCTCCAAGTTTTCACCTCCGCTCTAACGTTATCCTCTGAAGGGAAAGTTCCTCTCCATGTCTAACCTTAATCCTTCCTGCTGCATGCCTAAAGCCCCTTTCCTTCTTTTCTTTAAGAGACAAACTCCTTTAAGATCATAAATGAAATCTTCTTCCGGCGTTTGCCACCCCAACACCACCCCGCAGGACCCCTCCACCCTCCTAGCCCCTATATCTGCCCCAGCTTGGAGAAGCTCTACGTAGCCGCTCCCCTCCAACACTCCCTGCCCAGAACTCCGAGGATACCTGGGTATGGGTACCGGCACCCGCAAATGACTACGAGTTGGACCCGGCCACGCCCCGGCTCGCGCGCCAGCAGGACTACGATCCGGCGGCCGCCCGCGCAGCCACGACGGGGTTAAGGTTCTGGGCTGGGGGGGAGGGG